GCAAAATGGAGAGACTGATAAAGACAAATACAATCGTTTTTTTTTTTTCATGTGTGTGTGTGAGAGAGAGAGCGAGGGAGAGAGAGAGAGAGAGTTGTTTTGGAGACAGTGGAAGATGAGAGAGAAGAAGAGTAGGTGACAAGAATATGAAGAATAGTTGCTGGTGGCAGGAGAGCATCACACACACACACACACACACACACAGACACACACACCCCACGCTGCTTTGAGTTTAGATTACTCCCATGTGTGGAGGAGATGGAGCTGAATTTGGTGGTGTTGAAAGTATCACACAGTAGAATACATTTCATCACTTTTCTAACACACACACACACACACACACACACACACACACACACACACACACACACACACACACACACACACACACACACACACACACACACACACACACACACACACACCCATCCCCCTCCTTTGATCTCTCTTCTCACTGATCTTCTCTCCTTCCATGTCAAATATTTAGGCTGCATTTGGCAGGTTTGACGAAAATTACCATGGAGAAATGATTTTATTTATTCAACTTCTATATCAGACAGTCAGGGAGGACGAGCCTAAATTTCAACGAGAGGAGACCGGCACTCGTCCAAGAAAGAAGAAAAAAAATGGAATCTGCTGAGTGTCCCATTTTAGACATTATTTTTAATGCAGGGAAATTCTTTCAAGAAATCTTCGAGGGCATGACATGAGCGATTTGTTTAAGCAAAAGTGATGGAAAAGTTTAGGAAGAATCTTTGTGTTACTACTATCAAGGTGATGAGTCAACACCGCTGCCTCCCTCATTTTCAAAAAAGTGTCAAAGTCATATTTCATGTCTCTTTCTGGATAAATGAACGTGCTTTTTAGTGCACAACCCTGCAGGAAATCCCACTCTAAGCCTGAAAGGTGTATCCTTTTAACACTCGCAGTGACAGATCAGTGTAGCATCACTCACACACTCACTCACACACAGAGTGATGCACAATTGTAGATCTCTCTTTATTCCCTCTATCTCCATCTTACATTCACACTCACACACAAAGACCTGTATTCACTGTCTCTGCATTTCTTCACCAAAGAACTTGACACAAATCAGACAGAGCGTAACAGTGCAGAGGAATTTACAGAAGATGAAGAGGAAATAGACGAGGAAGAAGAAAGGATGCAGTAGAAACTTGAGCTGGACTAGACTTACTCATTTATAATTAGCATTAAAAAAGTTTTAAATTCTCTGGAAAGTAAATCAAAGGTGTATTGATAGAGAAAAATGCTAATTTTTGGCAAAATAAATGAAATGACAGCACTTTCTAAAAGTAATTAATGGCTTAATTAATGAGCAATATGAGCAGTTAATTTTGTTGAATGAGGTGATTATTCACCTACAGCAAAACGTCTGACATGATTTCATAGTTCATACTTTTAATTTACCACTTCAATAACAGTAATATTACAGCTTTATAAATGAAAAGTCATCCTGTTTTATTTTAAATTCTCACTTCAAATAAAGATAAATTGTGATAAATCACAACATAATGCCACTAAGTGTGTACAGGTGATCAATTCAAGTGAGACAAAACAACACTGAATATGTTGTTAAGGTGTCTGCAGTGAGCCATGAAGAAGGAGAGCAAGTTATCAAAACAGCAATAAAGTGACTCAACTTGTGAAATCTAATTTAATGTACTAACATTAAGAGTCCCAGTCGATTAGTGGTGAAGCAGGACAGAAATGTATGTGTTACTTTAAGACAATCATCCACAATAAGTCCAAGTTTCTGATCAGCTCAAACAAAACTCTGTCTGTTTTGTCTGTAATTTTTTGTATGAACTGTGAATTGAGTGCGTTATCTAGACAAGAAAAAGTTTAAATTAAAATGACAAAGTGTCAAGGTACATATTCTTCCTCGAGGAAAAGCTTTAAAAAGCTCTTTGCTGAAGTTAAAGGGAAAAAATACAGACAGGGCTTAAACTCAAAGAAATAAAGGAGAGCCATTTAAATCAGCTGTTCCTGCGGCTCAACCCTAACCTATTATATTTGACAGCATTTTATAACCTCATTGTTTTCAGGATGACAGAAAAAAAAATACAGAAGTAATTAGAAGTTGAATTTTGTCTACTGTGCAGATTTGTTTGGAAGGTGTTCTTGCTCTGAATCTGCACTGGTGTTATCGGCTGGTCGGCCTGTCCACTTTCATACACATAGTTACACGTTCTCCCAAATGTCTTCATTAATATGCTTCTTCTTTGCTGTTGAGTTTGCTTAATGGTATTTTCTCAAATCTACTTTGCATTTTCAGATTTTTTTTTCTGCATGATTTTCTATTCTATTCTATTGTTGAAGTCGGTTTTTAAAAAGTAGACTACAATGATGCAAAAATGAAATAAATCTATTTTTCTTGGAGGCACTGAAACGTAGCACCAAGCCTGTTTTGAAAAATGTATGTTGTCAAAAGATCGAGTATTTGTGTTCAAATGAAGGCTGCAAAAGTAAAAAGTTCTGAGAAAAAATGAGTGCTGTCAGAGTTAATGTTGTTATGCAATTAAGGCCCAATTTTAATGCATGTTGTTTTAATTAGTGTACTTTTTTTTTGTCCCTGTTGGCACTCTGTTGTTAAGCTGCTGCAGCATTTTGCTACTTTTTGTTTGCACCATGATGGAAAATAACAACTCAACTGCACTTTGACTGGCACATTTCACTTAAAAAAAAAATCCCACACAGTTCAGTTGACAAGTCAATAGCAATAAGCACTTTGTGTCAAACCTTTGGACTGAGTCACCAAAGTGCTTGTGTACCTTTAGCTTCACCAATGAGCTGGGTGTACAGGTGTAATGATCAGAGTGATGTCAGTGGGTGACTGCATCACAACTGTTGACACTATTTTTGGAATGCAAATGGATGCAGACCTGCAAATGAAACAGTTAACTGCAGCATATGCTGGATGGTGGAGCTGATAACATAGTCAGAGAGTCGGGTTAATTGTGAGTGTTTGTTTTGCACAATATTAAAAAGAGTTGCAAAATTTGTAAACACACTCCTACATATTTCTCAATGTGTAGCGATGTTATTGTTTAAAAAAATAAGCATTTAATTTCACAGAGTAATAATTCTGGAATCATCCCTTACCACTTTGTCATGGTCAAGAGTCACACTGATGTAGCAGTGCTTTATATATATGTAAAATAAATTGAGAAGTAAAGATCATAAAGTATATTTCATTTTATTCTTGAAGCAAGAACTGCCTTAGACTGTCAATATGGACTTAGAAGCAGTTTTTAAAGCTCAAGTAAGGAGTTTTTTTATGTTTATTAAACAGACTAAAATTCATATTGATGTCTTTTTATTACATACGAGATTATTAGTAACAAGATTGACACTGTTTATATTGTTATTTTAGATGCCTTAAACTGGTGTGAGGGTGTCAGCTGAGCAGCTGAAGAAACAGCCCCAGTTTTACAATTTCCATGTACAAAAAAACTGTAGTTTATTGTACATTGTATTGAACAATTTAAGCATTTTAAGGACAGGATTAGCAAAGACATTTTTGTCCACTGGGGGTGCCAAAATGGACAGAAACCAGAAGTTCCTCACAAAATACCAAAAAATACAATTTCAAACATTGGATTAAAATGTGATTTTGAAATTGAAATTGTTTAGTTTGAAAACATAAAGAGAAAAGTGAAATGCTTTTTGACACTTATCAAGATTTAAAAATGAATGGTTTGACAACTCTTAAAATCATTATGTTAAAGTCACCTTTAAACGCTGCCACAGTAAAGTCATAAATTATTTCAGATCTGCACTTGCTGTAACAAAGCTTGGATTAACTGTAAGCATGCACAACATTACTCATGTTTTAGTTTCATGGGGCCAAGAATGCTGCCAACAGGAAGACTTATTAATACCTTAAACTAAAGTCTTACATGCACCAGGGCCTGTAGTGTGTTGATTTCTCATTTAAGTTATCAATTACATACTTTTGGAGGGGTATCTTAGTTGTCTTTGTCCACATTATTTCAAATCCCCTTTTATTTTGTCATCCATTTGTTCAAATTACAGAAATAGCAGGAGAGGAAAAGTTCCTGGCCCTTAAGTAGTTCGAACGACGTGCACATGTGTGTCTGTGCGTACTTCTGTGTATTTGTGTACATGTACTGCTGGTGGGGCTTTGGGGCTGTTTAGACAAATGTTCCTGAAGCCTCATACATCACAAGTCTCTGCTCTGTATTAGCCCCCATGAGTGTACTTCTGCAGACAAGACAGAAATACTAAAGACAGCAGGTACACACAGACAGACGGACAGACCGAAAGACAGACAAAAAAACAGCCCCTCTCTTTTGGACGCACAGACAGACGCACACACATGCACACACACACGCTAAAGGAACAGGTGCAGGTAGATGAAGCCAGCTGCCACGCTCCTTTTTGTAACATCTACATTTCATCAGCAGAAGCAGCAGCAGCACAGGTGACGCCGAGGCCCAGTGGGTACTGAGATTAGGAGCGAGGGAAGAGGTTTAACTCAGACTGTCATCTAAGGTCAGATTTGCATTTTCTTTTTATTGTTAAAGGTTAGGTATTCCAGTGGATAAGCTGATCTGAGATCAATGCCTAAAGGCAGTTTCCCCCCTCGAGGACGGCTTCGTAGAGTATCTGATGGTGACATCACATCTGTGCAGGAAGTCTAAAGGACACTGAGATGATTTTCCTTTTCGCCCGTTTTGACCATGGTGATTTGTTGCCGGTCGGTGTCCTCTCTGGCTATATCTCTGTTGCTCACTCTTTCTTCGTTCTTTCTTTCTTTCCTTCTTTCTTTCTCTTTCGCCTGTGGCTTCCTCTTTGTCACTCTATCTCAATCCCCTCATTTCTGTCTGTGCCGCTATCTCTGTCGCCCTCCTGCTCCTGGCTTCCTCTCCCCCTCGCTCTATCTCTATTTGCCCGCTCCCTCTCTTCCCTGTGAGAAAGCGCTGTCAGGTGAAACCTCGCTAGATTAACCTTTGACCCTTCAGCAGGAGGCGGCACCGATTGGCTTGTAATTGCTATCAATGCAGCATTTGTGTAAGTGTAGGTTGAGTGTGTATCTGTGTGTACATTCTCTCTCCGTTTGGGCAGTATGGTGGTTATCTGTGTTGGCAAAAAGCAGCCAATTTAACTGGTGAAATGCATTGTGGGCTGTGATGGTGTGTTACAGGGTGAGTGGGTTTTGTGGGTGCCAAAAGAGGATGAAAAAGCATTTCTGCTACTCTCAGCAAACAGGAGCTTATACCCAAAGCATCCTTATGTACGAATAATGCTCTCTCTCTTACACACACACACACATTCACACACATAAACACAACTAAAGGCACAAATACAAATGTTTTTCTCTCTTATACCAGCTTTGAATGGCACCTCATTTGTGCAACTGTGAGCGCTAAGGGCCCTCCTCTGCAGCTCATCTGATTGGGTGTGTGCGCATGGGCGCCCATGTGTGTGGAATATTTACGACTGTATATGAGCGTTTGTGTGTGTCTGAGCGAGCGCGCTTGTGTGTCTGCGCAGGGATGGGGTGCTGTGAAACAGAGGCTCTGACTCCCAGCAGTCCTTTGTCACACTGACTGACTGCTGAAAGGCTGAAAGCAGGAAAAGCCATTTCAGACTGCGGGGCTAAATGATGGCAGGTACTCCGATCTATCCGCTGCTCGCTACAATAACACAATACAGACCAGTCATCAACAGGCCTGTCATCTCCATCGGTAAATGCACTTCACACAGCCCCCTTCATCTCTCCTCCTACTCTGACTGCCACTCAAACACTTTTGTAACTGTCCCCTAAACCCAATTGGCCCTTTATAGGTGAAGTAGAGCCAGATTCAGAGAAATTATTTTCACGGCTTCTTTTTCCTCGAGTTTTCTCGTGCCTTCTCTGTCCTCAATTTCTCATAAAGTTTCTGGTGAATTTACCGCTTTTGTTTCAGCGGTGGGTGTCACTTGGCTTTAATCTATGACTAACTTGGAGTGGCCGTGTATTTCTGTTTCTTCTTGAGCCTGTTGATGAAATTAATGACTGGAATGACTAAATGGGCCGTCACAAAACACGACTCTGGAGACGGCGCAGGGGTGGGCGGGCTTTCATATGGGCCAAGAGCTTACATGTACAGCTGTTACAGAGACAAAAAAAGAGGAGGGTTTTTTTTTGTTGTTTTTTTCAAGGTGAGTCAGGAAAGGGGAGGGGGGCCGAGACAGAGAGAAAGCATGCAGTAAAAGGGTGGAGGTAAAGGGGGAATAAAAACGGGTGTCAGAGAGGGAGGAAGAGGTAGTGTTGTAAGTAAAAGCAGGTCTGGTCCAGGTGGGGTTCAGACAGTCAGAGTGTTATTTTAGGAGGGCAGAGGGAGGGTGAGAGAAAGGGATGGATGCAGGGGAGGGGAAGATGAATGTAGTTAATTAAGATGAGCAGGCGGAGGAGACAGTGTGGAATTACACAAACACTAATTAGAGTCTTCGTTAGGGGGCACAAAACCAGAGCAGCACATCCATCATCACAACCCTGCATCCCTCTTCCTTTCCCTCTTCCCTTACCTCTGTTCTGCGCTGCCAGTGCTCCTGCATGGCGACCATATTTTCCCCCCACTTCCCCCTGCCGCCTCTTGTCCCTCCTCTGCCACTTTTCCCCCTCCCTCCATCTTCCCCTTTGCTTTCTCACTTTTCCCTATTGATCCCATCAGCGGTTAACTAAATAGGTGCAATTTAACATGTGGGATTGTAATCGAAGCAGCCTGCATTTCCCCTCCTTCGCTTTGATTTCTTCTCTTTATTGTCACTTTATTCCTTTTTTTATCACTACTCTGGGGAGGATTTCATCTCCACCCCTCCTCTTTCCCCCTGTAACATGCTGACAAACACACACACACATGAACGGTGCCATGTCAGCACAATTTATATTGTCTCTCCAAGCCAGTCAATGCTGCTCCTCCTACATAGAGTATACAAGACACTGTAGACCATTTTCACCTTTTCTTATTCAGATTTCTCCCTTGTTTTTCTCTCCCTCTCTCTCTTTTTAAACATAGGCTCTAAGCGCTTCTGTTGTCCTCTTAATGGTCTCTCCGTCCTCCTCTGGCTCATCCCTCGCTCTCTGATCTAACAGAGGAGTCTGTCACTGTTGTCTCCCCTGATGAGAGCACAGGGATGGAGGGAATAATGAGGGATAAGTTTGGCTGAGGGTGGTCCAGTACTGGTCCTTGTCCTGGCATTCATATACATACACACAGCAGGAGGCAAACATGCACTGTCTGGTCACAATGCAAATCATAGTTAAAATGGCCTGAAATGAGCCAGGAATTCACAATAATGTACAAGTTTAGCCCTCACAGTTTATGAAAATGTTTTTAAAAGGACATTGTAGAGATTAAACTTATCCCACATGGAGTCATTTGATCTGTTTTGTGTCACCATATCCGAGAATAAGCTGTTAAGAATGGATCAGAAATGTCAGATAATTGTTTTTACAGGGCTCTTTTGGCAGGTAATACTGTTTTAATCTGAGGTATCAGCTTTCCGAGGTTCAAAGCTGATTTGGAGGCTTTCTTAACGCAATTACGGTTAGACATTGCAGTTAAACAAGACGTTTAAAGAGCTGGTCTAGACTATACTCTGTTTACAAAGGCCCGATGTGAGGATGGGATAAGATAGAGCCCTGTCATGTAAGATCAGACCCACATCCCATCTTCAACCACATGAGTGTAGCACTTTGTGGCATTTATCAAGTTAAACTTCCTTTAACAGGCAGAAACCTCAAGCAGAACCAGACTTATGTCAGACAGTCCTCTACCACTACTGCATTGGGTTTAAAAAAAAGGAGAGCGGGAGATGGAGAAAGAAAGAGTCAGACAGAGGAGAGGATGATGCACGTACTGTAGCTGAAGCAGCTAAGAAGCAGACAGGACCACGGCAGCAAAACGTCTGCAGCAGTGATCCAGAGGAGCCTACAAGGATTTCCAGAAAAGACTGTGGCTTAAGACTCCTATGAGACATGATACAAAAATAAAGAAAAAAAAAGGAAAACCTAGAAAGAAACGCCAAGGAGCCAACTCTCGATTTACATGTGTTTCCTACAGGACAGACACCTGTTAAAAAATTCAATGTGCTGAAGTACTAAAAACTGCAGTTCCCCCATGTGTCCACTTGGAGCTGCCTCTGAAAACCAAGGAAGTCTCATCAACACCTGTTGTTGTTACTGCGCATGTCAAAATACCCAATTCTTGGAAAAATAAACTTGTTTACCGTCTGAAACAAAAAGCAGCTTTGGTCTGAATAGCGAGTGTCTCTTTTCATACTCACTGAGAAACAAACCAAGATATTTGAGCTACAAATTTTGCATATGTAGTCAAAATTTTTGCATAATGAGTCAGCATGTTTACACGCACAGTTGAGTTCAGCTATGGTTCTAGCTTGATTAGGAACTTTGACTGGGCTACTATCATTGTCCCAGTTTACAAGCACCAGGCAAAAACGAATTCTTGACAGACGCTTGTCCACCTCCACTCTAGTAGGTGACGACATGCCTCTTTCAATGTCTTACTATTTGGTCATCTCCTGGTTGCCGTATTCTGTATTGGAACAGTTGGTAAAATGCTTTAGCAAGAGGCTAATGGGATGTACATCAAATGACAAAAATGTCACTTTGTTTGAACAATGGGAACATTCTGAAAAAAAATGTCCTTTTACTGTCATTATTACCTGGCTACCAAGCTACACGTCCATTATTATCCACACATACATGATTTAACGTTCCGCTCAAAGCCTGTTGTGCATACAGAGAATACTAAGGCCAATTTCAGTCTGACCAAGCTGACTGAGAAAATCTATCCCCAACCTCATTATCCATCCAGGCATGTCAGTCTGAGTATGAGAAGTTCAATTAATGCGAGTTTAGTCAGACTAATGTGTTTACAGGTTTTTAAAGAGGCAAGTTTCAGCTGAACTACGGCAAGAAAACATGTCAACGCACTGAGTGTTGCTGCTGACTAGACTGAGGTTTGAAAAGGATTAGGTAAGAGTTTCAGCTGAACAAGACAGAGTATTTATAAATGAATAGAGGGAGATTTTTATTTGCAGTTGAAAAACAGCAGAAAAACAATTTTTGTTTTTGCTTTTTGTCAGAGACAACAAAAAAAAACATACAGGACAAAATTGACAAAGAGACGAGGCCCTGCTTCAGTATAATCAGAATTCAGAGGAAGCCACTCTTCGGATTGAGTTTTAAATTAACTTAAAAAAAAAAAACACCTCCATTAAACATAAAATAAATTCATGATATGAATTTAAAAAGTAGATATTCTCTTTAAGAAAAGTTTTTTTTTTTAACTTGATACTAGTTCATTCAATTGATGTTTTCTTGTTTATTCAAGGAAGGTGACAATTATGAACAACATTTACAAAATATTTAGGGAACTTTTAATTTGGTACTTAAGAACATACGTTCAGGATTTAGGGTCTCACCCACTTGAGAAACTCTGTAAATTATACACAGTTTGTTTTTTATTCCGTGAAGAAAACAGAAAGCATCTGTTACTGCCTTTCAAAAAGCGATCTGTAGTTTATAAATGAGAGTGAGAATTCAAGTAAAGCTACAGACTGCTTCTTTATTTGTAGGTGACTGAGGTTCTACCTTTGTCTGATAAAATATCAGTCAACACAGCTCAAGCAAACATAAATATTGTAAAGTGTTTTTCAGCAATCTCATTTCTTTCCTCTGGGGCTCTATGTGTGAATATTTATCATCCACCTTTTGCTCCTTGACCTTTGACCCCAACCTGAACAATGTGTGGAGTTCTCGCTGCTGGGTCACAGACGTACCGAGCAGTGGGCTCTCAATTGTTCCAGTGCGCTCAAGGCTGAAGCCCGCTAACAAGCTGCTGTCTACCTGACTGTCATGTCGAGGTGACCTGAGAACACCTGCAGCATGGTGATGCAGCGCGGGTAACTCTTTAATTTGTAGCATTAAAGAAAGAAAAAGAAAAACAGATGCAACCGAGAGGCCGCTGATCTGTAAGAGACGGAGGCGAGCTGAAATAATGAGAAGATTCTTCCTTGATCTAAAAGATGCTATTTTCAGTATTCTTAACAGATGTCTGTCTGTTCATCATTTTGACAGTGGCTGAAATCTCCTTTATGACTGTGTTTCTTTCCAGACATAACTCTGTCTGTACATTTGATCGTGCTCCCCAGAGGATGTACCGATGACTTTGGTGATCACATGACTTTTCTTCTTGTGCATATTTATCATTTTCATTTTTTATTTATTTTTTTTACTTGAAGTGAAATATCTCACTCTTCTCTGAGTATTTACATTGAATATAGACATTTATGGTTTTTACTTGGGTAATCCTGACTTCATTATAAAGGGACATTCTGGTGTAAAATTTATTTAGAGTCAAACACACCGCAACACAGAGTTAGACACCCCCTTGAAAGATGAATGTTGCTGACCAATTGCTTCTCTTGTTATACCAACTTTAGTAACAACCGCAGGATAGGAATACACAGCGGTCTGAGGAGGCATGAACAAACCTCAACCAAAACGCCACTCTATAGCCATAAATAATGCTCAGAACAGCACCTAACTTCATCAACAGTACATATAGGGTCCTAACCATAGAGCTAGCCACCAAACATCTTTTTAACTTCGCCTGATTTCTTTAGCAAACAGACTAAACACAACTCACCTTCTCTCTTCCAGCAGCTGCTTGTTTGTAGTGAGAACATTATTACTTCATGGAAATGTAATCAGACCAAGACGCTAAGGCAGAAGAACTACTGCATCTGCAGTGTAAAATGATTAATATGATGATTATTACTTCAAGGAAATGATAAAGTAATGATCATAAATGTTCTTCCTTGAGCTGCGTCACCCCACTGTAGTCCATAATGGACTGTCCCGAGTTCTCGCTACAAACAAGCAGCTGCTGGAAGAGAGTAGGTGAGTTGTGTTTAGTCTCTTTATACTTTGTTGGTATAACTAGAGAAGCGGTCGGCAAAGTTCATCTCTCAAGGGGGTGTCTAACTCAGTGTTATGGTGTGTTTGACCCTAAATTAATTTTACGCCAGAATATCCCTTTAAAGTCATCGAAGAATCAACACATTTGTAAAATCTCAGCTTTGAATTGCTAAAACATTGTCCATTGAGGATGATCTGTTAAAACTTTGATTTGGTGATTAATCAGAAAAGCCATTATCAGAAATTATCAGGTACATTTTCTGTTTTTTTGTCCAATGATTTCGTTCATACAGAAATACCTGAAAAACTAAGGCTGTGCTCGCCAGCCTCAGTTGTTTTTGCTCCAAAGAGTATTATTAAAAGTAAAGCGTTTAGCAGCTCACCAAAAAGTATTTCAGTGTCCCTGATGTATCACGGTACACTGAGATTTATTACAAACTGTGGCTATCTCACCCACCATTGTACTTAATACACCAGAGTCAGTTGGACTGCTTTGAGTGCACGCCGGCCTGGTCAGTGGTATATCTTTATTTATAGAGCCACTCTGGGCAAAATATCAGACTTCCTTTCCTCCCTTTAAACCCTGAAGGATAAATTTCACAGCCTTGTTTATTGGACATCGTGCAGTTTGTTGTTCTCAAAGTCTGAACTGAGTTATGAAAGAAAGCTTTTAGGTTTCCTGTGTATCTTTCCTGGAACAATCTGCAGACTGATTTTAGACTGGGAAACCTGTATGTATTCAAGTCTTTTGTTAAAAGTCTGGAAGTCAGGTTTTCTGTATGCACTTGTTTTAGCTGGTTTTATTATGGCCTTTTTTTTTTAGTTATGTTGTATTTGTGTGATTGTTTTGTAGCTAAAATTTTGTGTTGCTGCCGTTCATGGCCAGGTCTCCTTTGAAAACGAGATCCCTAATCTCATTGGGACTTACCTGGCTATATAAAGGTCAAATAAATAAAATAACAAAGGACTAAACATTTAGTGCTAGTCCATGCATGCTATCAAGCTAAGATCAGACCATAAGCATCAAGAATACTCGCTTAACTATCACTTTCACTGCGTTGTAAGCTTCTTGTATTTCTTTTGGAAGAGCTGCAGACTCACTGGCATGAAGGACTTGTTTGTGAGTCATCAAAAAGGCTCAAAACAGAATTGAATAAGTGCAAGGTGGTTTGGTGGATACAGCTTTTATTGATGTATCCGCATGAAAAATTAACCGTCTCTACACACGCACAACTCGTAAAACGTGGAGAAGTTTGTCTTCATTTCAAAGTGAGCTGCAAACAGCTGGAGTTTTCCCCCAAATTTACAGGGAACTTTTGCAGCCAGCCTCCAGAAATTTCTGAGAGAAGTCTGGTGAGCTGATACAAGAATGCCACAGGAAATATTCGAGAGAATCACCTCGAGCAAGCAGGGTTGTTAATGTTTTCTATTGCGCAACAAAAAAGCAACATCTTATTGGATGGACTAAAACTCCCTACACACCCCCACCCACCCAATTATGCAGTGATGAATTTTTATGAATAAGAAACTCTGGAAAATTTAGGGGCAGAACCTGTAAGTACCCAAAAAAAAGTGTTGTCCAGAGTTAACAGATAATCTTTGTGCTTTTCAGTGAAATTTGCATTATTGTTCAATATTTCATTGGAAGTTTCAAGTGCCTATCAAGAATAAGTTTTTATTATTTATGTGCCTCCTCGAGGATCATGGAGGTTGAAATTGTGTCTACTATCTACACTCACCTGTGACTTCATTGCCACCAGTTAAACCAGTTTGAGAACCTGTCAGTCTCCCACCAGTAAACACATTCAGATTCCTCCCGGCCAGCACAACAGCGGCATGTTAATTCACTGTGAACCCACCACACTGTGTCCCATCTCCACACCTCTGTAATCCCTGCAGGTGAGAGAGAGAGAGAGAGAGAGAGAGGCAGAGATGGATTCTTCAGTATCTGATTGAGCAGCACACAAGATGAATAATTGATCCGAAGGCTCTCGAACCCAATAAACACACACACACGCACATAAACACTGACTGTCTAACTGGCCGTGCAGTCGCCAGTCTCTCAGGCTTAACTAATCCTGCAGGAAATGTAATACGTGATTCAATTAGCAGCAGCGTATAGTGCAAGATACCTTCTATGGATGACATGCTTGTGCGTGTATGAGAGAGCATTTTAAGTACAGAGCTGGAGTAGGTCCATTCATTAATGTTAAACCGTTTATGAATATATGCTGCTTTACCTCAGCTCTTTACGCTCCTCAAACATAAAGAGGCAAAAAAAAAAGGATCAGCTCAAGATAAAAGCCTGAGGATGTACGTACATAATAAAAGGTTATATTAAAAGCTGTTCATCCAGATTCAAATTCTAACAGGAAAAAGATCATCAAGAAATGCTATTTTCCTTTTCAAAACACAGAAAATACATTCGACAAAATCTATAAGACAGCAAACAATAGTCTCAGGCTAATGTTTTCCCCAAATGATCTGTTTGCTTCTCCATTATTCATCGTCTTGTTTTTCATGCACCCACAGTTGTTTTTCAAGCTAGGAGCAAAATAAGATGATGCCACCGCCTTTCAAGTCCATTTCTAAGGGTCAACTCTCAACTCTCAGACCCCGGAGTCTAAACACACAAACAGAAGCCAGAAAAGTGCAGTCGTGATAGAACCAGCAGCTAAAGTTTTCCTGATTTGAGCTGCTCAGAATTTTAAAAGCAAGTGTCGACGGCAACAGAGAAAACCACAACAAAACTACACGATGAGTTAAATGTCAGTTTCTCTGAACCTTACAGATTCTCATGACAGTGAATAATACTACATCTAATTTTACAAGTTATTACTGAGAACTTAATCATCATTACAATCAACCAAACTAAAGCCT